GATTCAAGATGAATATGAGTATTTGCTTGAGGGTAAAACAATAATTTTTCATCATTTAAATTATAGTTATGTATTGCAAGTCACTCATTTAAATAACATGAATATCTTAAAGCACAGTACATACAAAGTCAGAATAGTTCTGGGTGTGTGCACCATTACAACTCATAAAACCTCTGTTTGTAGTTCAGAATGATTAAAAATACATGTCTTATGGACCATTCACATGAAGAACTTCATGCAGCACAAGGAAGTTTTTGCTAAGTACAAACCTAGAGCTGATATTTTAATTAGAACTCACTGACTATTCCTAGTACAAGTGTAAAAAGAAGACTTGTGGAACGAGATTTATCTTGAGCAAACAGTGTTTGCATCTTTGTTACAGAAATAGAACACACACCTTGATTTCCACAGGATGTCTTCAGCATCAAGATAAAATTACTCACACCAAGTATCAGGATGAAAGCAGAAGATTATGAATCAGTGCATTTGGTATTGGTTCTTGGTATTCTTTTTAAGGCCCTTATAGATCCAACAGATCTTCCTGTTTTTTTTTTTCTTGGCAGCTTGATTGATAGCCAAGATATAGAAAGAATCTTGCACTTCAACTTGACTAGGCCATGCCCAGTTCTAGTTTCGTTCCAAAGGAAAAAAAAAGATGCAATAAAAGAAAAACAGAAAAATATAGAGAATGCAAAATGTTATACCTAGACTGGCAGAAACTAAAAATGAAAAATGTTTTTAGAAATTTTACACTAAAACTTTAGACAGTATGGAAAGTAAGATACCCCATCCCAAAAGCACACTCTTTTGAAACACCAAATTAAATTAAACTGTGGCTCAAAATAAAGAGAATCTTGTGGAAAAGAATGACAGATAATGTTTTTGAGGCTGATATATAGATTTATATAACACGGCATACAGTTCTGGAGCATACATCTGACAAATGAATATGAACCACAACCAAAAATAATCAATAATAATTAAAAGAGAATGTGCGAGTTTAAAAATAAAAGAAGCCAAAATCTCAGTCAGAAAAAAAAACGTTCTTTTCCAGCAGGGGAGAAAGGAAGGCAACAGAAGAATCAGGGTAGCAGAGGCAACAGGAGGTTCAGAAGTATGAAGGTCATAGGAAGAGGCAAGGTCTGTCAGATGCGCTTGGTGTATGAAGGGAATGATGCACAACAGTAAACTGTCAGGGGAAAAGAGTAAAAGGATATAATTATAAATATTGTGTAGGTCAGTCAGCAGAAAGGCTAGCATGCTCAGTAACATTAAAGATTGAGATGCCCAAAGAAGATGGAGGTGCATGAGCATACGTATTAAAATTTAGAATCCCACAGATGTTCTGAGGCTAACTCCCTGGGTTCACGTTTAAACTAACTCACTCAATCCTAACAGCACAACACCTACAGATATGCAGTGTGTCTTTGAATTCTGCTTTGCTTGGCCTGAGTTTTAATTCTCCAGCAGGTACAAGATAGATGCTGCTGGAGATTCAGCTTCATTCTTTAGCCTCAGATCAGGCTGGATGAATAAGGGTAGTGATGGCATTATCAGCCTTTTAAGTCATGCGCACAAGTTTTCTTGCTTTAAAGATCACCTCTAAGAAAGAAAGGGCTGGGTCACTTGACAGATGCCTTCTGAGGCAGTGTACTATGATAAGCCAGCAAAACTCCATGCACAGTACTGTGTAGTTCTCAAATGATTTAGAACCATGCGTAAGAAAATCAAGTTTCCTCTGTTTCTACCTGTTTTTCGTTCAAGCTAACAAAGCCCAACTCTTAGAGACTAACCCTAAAGACTGTGAAAGACTAGATATACATCTACGGTGACTGAAGAGATATGACTGAACAGCTTGTGAAACCATCATAGATTTTCTCAAGTAGCTTGTATGACCTGTTCATATGTCAATCATATAATGAAAAACATTAAAAATTAGATATAGGGACAAGGCTCCTTTCTGTTTTCCTTGTTCCTTAAAATTAACCTGGTATTATCCAGCAACTAGTAGTATACACGCCATCTACACAATATAACTGGTAAATGCTTATACCCACTCCTTCATTCCCTAAAACTTTCTGATTAAGCAGTGATTGATTATTTTGATCTATAGTTAAAAACAAAGGTACAAATCATGATTTTATTTCTTCAAAGACAGAACACTTTCTGATATTTGCAAATCAATTAGTTATCAAGCCCTTATCCAGTGTGAACCCTGAGTTCACTAGTACTTTATCCAGTACCAGAGTGAAGATTTTAATGTCAGGATCTCCCTCTACAGGAAAGCAAATTTTTTATTCTCTTTCACAGAGCTTTTAATTTCTTACTGCATATCTCAATGATAGTTCATAACTAGCCAAACAAAGGGCTAATTGTGGAGTTTCACAGAAATACTGAAGTTATTCTAATGAGCTAGCTGACAACATTTAAAGACAGTATGTTTCAATTCCTTGTCTAGGTGTAGCAGTCTTTCATTATGTGCATTCTTTACCTGAGGTAAAGTAGCACAGAGCTCACCATTGACTCATATATTAGGAACTTCACAAACCATGTGAGACAACCAAACGCCATGCAATAGAGGCAACAATCTCCATTTCTGCATTCCCCAAGTACGGTCAATCTTAGAATAGCAGGCCATGAACAATCTAATTAGTAAGATAAGGAAGGAGAAAAGATCCCATAAACACGTCATTTGAAACATGCACACAACATGCAGCTAAGGTTCTACCACACTGGAAGTTAAGAGAAAAGGTCATGTAATGAAAATATAAAGATTAAAGAGCAAAGACTGTGAGGAACTGTTTTATTCTTGTTTGTGGAAGGGATTCTTATAGTTTGAGATGGAAAAGCCTACATATCTCACTAAAGGCCCTATTCACGAATTACTTACATTCCCCATAAGTTTGGAAAACTCCATGAAGAGTCATTGCCACTATTCTCTGTGAAATGAAAATTCTTCAAGATGGTTTTCCCAGAGCACAATGGGACAACTGTGTGTTTGCTGGAAAGGAATGAGGGATGAAGCACAGTGCCCCACAGACAGTGGCAGATCATAAGGAGTAAGAAATTAAACTCCATATGATCACAGAGTTTTAATTTCTGAATGGGAATTTTATCTTGTGAAACACATACTGCTCTTGACAGTCACCACTCAGCAAAGGAAGACCACAATCTTCATAAGAGAAAGCTTTCTTGAGAGAGTGATTTCTGAACAAATATGCCTTTCATCAACAGCTGGCATCAGCAGCTTATCATCCTTCCCACCTTGTTCTCTGAGAAAACACATTTACTAAGCTTAGAGTTAGGAAGACTGAAAATTTTGTTGTTCTTTGAATCTACCGCCCAAGACCTATTTGCACTGCTTGAGGCATTCTCAGGCAATAAAAAAACATTATTGCAAAACTGTTCTTACACAGCTCAATAGCTATGGTATCTAAGCACCTTTCAGAATGGCATTAGGCAATATAATTAACATCTGTTGTACGTGCTGCTGTCTCTCATGGGTACATCTATACACGTTTCTCTTGTGTAAATCTATACACTTATCTTTATCTAGGTAGGACACACCATAATTACAGAGCTAAACTTGTCCCTCTCCAACAATGACACTTTAAAATAAGTACCCACTAAGCACTTGCTCTCAGTAAATTGAGGATAATAAAAACTCATGTTATGTTTCCATGTACAAGCTTAATCAAATCCTTTTGGCTGAGATACTGTGTTTATTTAAGAGCAAATGATCACACTGATTACATCAGTGCTGCATTGATTAAAGCGTATTTGATCACCAAGGTAGATCAGGAAAGCATTGCAAAATAACAGTGATAGAAACTCAAATGAGGCAGAAATACTAATGTAAAGAAGGCCACAATGGATTTTTAATAAAGAAAACATTGTAGGCAAGTTGATGGTATCTAGAACACAAAGAAGATTTTAAGTATGATATGATTTCTGTGCATAAGCTGGTAAAAACGACTTAGGGTTAATCCTCAATAAGATTCAGGTTTTCTGTTAGTATGATCTCCCTAATTTCTTTCCCTTCCCCCAATAAAACTTATCAATTTGTATTTCCTCAGCACAAATATGAAAAATAATTGTTTAGATTTAGCTCGTAATCAACAGTAAACACACAAACATTAATGTATCAGAGTAAGAATTACCTGCAGAGTACTTTTGGTAAAGAAACTGTCCTAGAAAGAGATTTTTTGTCAACTTAGTAGCTAAGAGACACATTTCTCTATCCCATGGTTAGGAGGCACCATCCTAGCCTTCAAATGAAGTGCGTCCATGAGATGTCATAATGTACAGAGCTTTGCTGCTTTTACTGGATCTACATGGGTGTGCAGGGCAAGCCCACAGGGAACATAATACATGATCAAAGACTTGGATTGTGTACAAAGATTTAAAGACAGTGGATAAGCATGAAATAGTAGCACGAAAACAGGCTTTTCACAAGTACACAAGGACGTGGAAAATATTGTACTTGTCTGATAACTGTTACGCCCCAAGGTGAAGAAACACAAAGGACTACCCAGAGATGCCAAGAAAGATGTTAAGAATATACAGCTCCTGTAAATGGTTTAATTTTCCTAAGGGAATATCCTGTAGTTCTCAACCTAGACTGATAGACCTAATGACTCTCAAAGGAGCTCGTCTCTGGGGAGACAAAAAAAAAGTTAGTACAGAAAAACAAACATGGGGAATTAATACAACAGATCTTTTCCTTTCAGTTGCGCATAGCCACAAATCTTGATGGTTATTTTTAAATGCTTCTGTACAATGACCAGGCGTTATTTGCAAAACTGTCTCCAAACAAACATTTTGTTTACTTTATATTCATTAGTTACACTGCATTGGACATTTTGAAAGACAACAGGCTGAAAAGAGGGGGAAAAACAGACATCAATGTCTGAAGTGCAGAGAGGAAAGTCTGGAAAAGCTACCCCTGAAAGCAATCATCAAAAGAATGGAGATGAAAATACATATATTTTCAAACATACGTTTAGGTACCAGCTCTGTTGGCGCTGTAACATCTGCTTCTCTGTAACACACTGCTGGATCCACAATGTCACTGCCAGGAGGAGGGTAAGGTGGGGGTGGGGGGATCACTAAGTGGGGCGGACCACGAGTGGTGCCTCTAGGAGGCTTTTGTGGCACCTGCCGTCCATCACCTACAGGGGGATCAATTGACTAGTTACTTCATTGCAAGATAATGATCGTTCTGTTTACTGCTATTTTTAAAAAACACAATGATTTTGCCTTACCCACATCCAAAGTCTATCTGGGTCTAATTCTGCTCTTGGTTACTCCCAAACAATTAAGGGAGAAGAAAAAGGTAGGTCTTTCTTAAACCAACAGCAATGGGACGAGAACTGAGCCCCACACATACATGTACATTACAACTAACAGTTAAAATCACCAGTTTGAGCAGACATAAGGAAGGAGAAAAATAGTTGAATAAAAAAAAATTTAAAAACTATATATGAAAATGTGAAAAATATGTTTTATTTTTATCTTCTGAAGTACAAAACTGCCTGAATTTGTTGATGTCTAGGATATTTCTTGTGACTATTTTCCTGACTCTCTGAGAGAAAGAGAAAGATGCCTCAGGCCAGTATTTTGAAGTAGATATCTTACACGTTTTTCTGTTATTTTTTTTTAATAGGTCCTTATTATTTTGACATTGAAGAGAAGCAGATGATTAAGCTGTTTTCTACAAAAGTGTGTTTGAATCTATCAAAGGAAATGCTCATAACTTTGGCTGGGGGTTTATTTCTACACTATGTGCAATAACAAAACAAATACATGCACCTTTGCACTATATGAATCACTTGCAATATTACAAAGCTGCTGCCTGTTTGTAGTATACAAAACTAGAGCTATTGCAATTCGGAAAGTTCTTAGAGGCTTAAAGTGCACTGAGGAACCTGCTTGTTCTCCTCTCATATCCTGCCTTAAGCATCTTCTGTGGTCACTGCTGAAGATGGATACTGGCAGACACATCTTTGGTTTGATCCATTCTGATCATTCCTGTACTCTCAGGCTCACGCTCTGGGGCTGCTGAGAAAGGAAGCAGCACTGAGAGGGAGGAAAAAAGATTAAACCATTACGATTTTCTACTTAGGAGCCACTAGCTTCCAGAGGAGTATCTTCCAGAGACACAATTTAATACTGGCAAACATGCAAGAACTTTTTTACTGCTTTGAGGAAATTTGGCAAAATACTTTGGAGTCACAGTAAATGGTTCATTATTGAAGTGAACTTGCCAGTTGGAGAATATTTCTGATAGGATCTTTTGCTTTGATTCACGTGGCTAACTTGAGAGATACATAGGTAGCTTTAATGCTTTTTCCATCATGCGGCTGACTATTTCTTGCAGCACGTTTTTCCCCTCACTACAGTCTTGCTTTTTTCACAGCTTTTATCTCATGCTTTCAGAGCCATCTGTGCTTTCTCATTGTTTTCTTGCAAGGGCTCCGAAGAGAGGCTGTTCTACCAGCCTTCTCTGGCTGCAACATTTTTTCTTGTTAATGAACACATTCATTCAATAAAGTAGCAGAAAATGAAAAGCACTGAAGACAGGGCTACTGTGGGACGAGTTCTTTGTCAGTGTAAAATAATAAGGCTCCATTAAAGTAAACGATACTACAGGATTCTACATGAGCAGAGTCTGGCCAGCAAGCACTTATGTACATAGTACTGAATGGACTTGAAGTGGCTCTGTTCTGCTTTACTTCACCTGTAACATTTTGAGTACCAATACAAAATAAAATGAACACTTAAAAAAGTTAAAGCACCAAATGTCACCAAAAAGCGACCAGCAGTATGGCAAAGCACACGATGCGAGAGCGTGACATCTGCAGTGGTTAAAAGTAAGCAAATTTGATGAAAACTCCTGTGTTATATGACACAGTGATAATATTTCCCTTAGAGAGTTTAAATAAGAGATGTCAATGGAGTTGAACATGTCACACGATAATGGACTCCTGCTGCTACATAAATGCTGAGGCATTAAATGTGAAGCATCTACTGAAAATAAATGTTGGAACAAAGCCAAGAGGTTTCTTTCTAAACTGTGAGGCATTTGTAATGCAAGCAATTATGTATGACAGAATGTCATATCTGTATGTCTTAGGCACTTTATGAAACATGAGGTCAAAGGCACGAACTGCAGTGCACTGAGTGCATTACAGCACTTGAAGAATGATTCTCTTAATGTACTGAAAAATGAGTTTCAATATGTGGGGTTATTATCTCATATCTTCAGCCATCATAAAATCACTTTGCTTGCTAAAAGCATAATCTCTGGGTCCTCACTCGGGTAGAGCTTCCACCAATCTGAATAAGCTACCAGTCAGGTAACGACAGAGGTCTGGGAGAATGTTTTTCAATCTTCCTGTATAAGTAAATGTGGTGTCACATGCAGCTGAAGTCTACAGCTTCTTTTGTTGTCTCCAGCTATGTATGTCATTCCTTTGAGAGTACCAGTTCTTTTCTTCTACTGATTAGCTAAAGACTCAGCAGAGATCGATTTATAACAAAAATAAGGACTAAATTTCAGTTGATGTCAAACTTTTGGAAGACTACTACTGAACCAGCTTGGCTGTACTGTGGTTCTATCCACTTCATGGCTTCATATGCATCCAGTATTGCCTGGCCTGTCTCCATTTACTAGCATTTTCACTTACTATGTCTGTATTTCCATTTACTAGCAAAGTGATCATGATATTAAAGGCACAGAAAAGGCCCAGGGCTAGTGCTTTTGTACATAAACCTTCTGTCAAATATTCAAATAATCTGATGAGTATTATCTACATTTTACTACCCTATGGTACTCTAAAAGTGTCATTCAAAAGGAAAAAAAAAAAAAAAAAAGAGGTTATACACAACGACTTATTTCCAGACTTTCATTCTGCAGAGAAGTGCATTTTTTTCTCCCAAGTTACAAAAGTTTCCAAACTCACAGCATGACAGAATTAAGACAACTTCAAACAGTGATCACTCAGAGCACATGCATAGGGATTATACAGGAGAAAAGAACACCTCTCACCCATTGTGCTCTTCCTCTTGTCTTCCCTATCTTCTGTCCTGTTTGGCATGGCAGGAGTGGGTGGAGCAGATGCAGCTGGTGGAAGAGGGGCACGCCTCTTCTTCTTCCTTAAATCATTCAGAGATGCTCCTTGTGATATCTAGCAAAGTTGAAAAATAGGCACAAAAAATATATGTTTTATTGATGTTGTAAATTGACAGTAACAGAAAAAAATAGGGTGTTTGTCATATGACCTAATTTCTCAGGACAGTCTATTTATAATGAGCATTTATAGTGACAACAGCAGATGAAAGAGGTCCATTAATATTGCACTCAGAAAAGGAAAGAGACGAGACCTGAGGGTGAGTGTTACAGCAGAAATACCAGTCTAGTAGGCATTTGATGGTTTTGGAAAAAGTGAACTAGAGAGCAAAACACAAAACACAGAAGTGAACACACTCAGCAAAGCAGAGTATGACACTGTGTGTTGTTAAGTTTGAGCCATAGCATGATCTTCTTTTGGTCAACTTATGGTTAAATACTCCAATTGGTAGGTATAGGGAATAAATTCTCTCTCATTTATTTTCCTCTCAAATTCTTGTGTAAGGACTTCTGAGAGAAGAATCAGAATTGACAGTTTGCTTGCATGATATGAGATCATACTGTACTCTATTTAATGTCTACTGGACTTCACAAACATACTTTTGAAGATCTGTAACACCTTGGCTTCCAGTAATTGCAACATGCTTGTGTATATGTCAAGACTTCATACTACTTACGCTGCTTTTAAAAATATGAAAAATGTTATTACAAGTGACATGCATTTCACTGGATTGAATAATATTTTCTGTAGCTTGTTGGAACTTAGCTCTATTTCCTTTTTCCAGAAAAAATAATAATAATAAAAACATGTAGGAAAATCTGTTGAAGATTTATATTTGAAAGGTACTGACAACACTAGTCAGTACCAGGCTTAACTGAGGCAGAGAGTAATGGGAGCTGCCCACACATGACACGCTGTTGGCATTCCTCAGTCTTCACTTCTTTGACTTAACTGCTCTGTCTGTCCCAATATTCCTGAAGATTTATATACAGAACTTAGATCTATATATACTGAATATCTGATTTACAGAACTGCCTAGTGGATTTTTACTATTTCAGAGGCCTAAACAATAATAATCATATTTCCTTTAATCCAGAGGATTAATGAACCCTTAAAATACAACTTTTGTGGAAGATTTCAATGAACAAATAGTAGCTTCACAATGTTTAAAGTTGTCATCAGAGTTCAGAGGAAAGGTAATCACTTATAGGTGTCCTTTCCTATATTAAAAAAAAGAATCTGAGAATAATTCAATTTTTCAAAGATCAGGACATGAACAGAGCCTCCCTCACTTAGCCTTCCTTTTTAAGAGCACTCAGGAGGGTGCTACATTATAAAACAGAAACCTTCCACTCCCACCTTTCAGGATGATGTCTTAATCACCATGCCACATGACAATTGGACACTGTCCACCCCTTCTTGGTGAACCTGCATCCTCCTCACAGAGCAATTTGGTAGTAGCTGCACTGGACACAGAGCACATTAATCAGGACGAGCTGCAGCTTTGTAGCAAACAAGAGTGGGAAAGAAAGGTATCCTGGTCTTACTTCCTACTATCATGGACTATTTCAGCATTTCATATTAAATTTCCACTGGATACATGCGCATGACTAAAGCCAGTGAGGCCAATTCAGATAAAGTTACGCATAGTAAATGGGCAAGAACAGTAACTAGTGATTTTATAGACTTAAATTTTGGTCATCAAACTTCATGAAATCTAAAAAAAATAGACTTACACCCAGAAAATAGCATCACACCAAATGTTCAGGAATGGATAAAAAAAAAATTTTACATCTCCTCTGAAAAACCTTTGCCAAAGTTATGATGTTCCTCCATACTAAGCTGGGGCAGTTAACCTGGCAAAGAAACTGCCTGCCAGTGATTAGGAAATGACTGCAACTAATGCACCCTGCCCCCTCCCAGTTCTTATAGAAACACAGTGTCCAATATTGAGCTGAACCTGGAAAATTCTGTTCAGTAGAACAAATTCATCAGGCTTTGGCTTACAGAGGAATTACATGGAGGCTGGCTACCTAATGCTGCATTCTTTTCTGTAACTATTTGAAGAAATTGGCAAATATGCACTTGAGACAAAAAAATCACATTCTTCTGCACTGCATTTTAAATTACTAAAAACATGTGAGCATTTAATGCTGTATCTTGATTATCCAGGATACTAACTTACAAAAACAAAAAAAAATTATCCAAGTGAGGATTTTGATTACTACAAAGACTTCAGAATTCAGTAGCTATGAAGAACTTGAATCACCTGGGAGACAGGCAGCATCTGAACTTTCTGAACACCTCACAAGCACAAGCTGTGACTTTTGCAGTTGTTTAATGGCATTTTGCAGCTTCCACATTCACTCCTACCTCTCTAGAAAAAAAGGTCATTTTACTTTAGGACAAAAAATGGGTGGACTGGAGAGCTAAAAGGTAAGCCTAGAACATCTTGAAAATCAAGGCAGAAAGTAAGGAAATGTGTCTTCCCACTCAGAATGATAGAGAGTACTAATCACTGTTCCCCAAGTATGAGATGAGTGAAGGAAGCTGGCTAATCTTTTTCAGCTTTACGTATTCTTACTTAGTTGAATCTTTTGAGGAACATTAGGCAGATGTTGAGAAACATTAGATAAATGTATGGATGTACATACTGCTACAGTTAAAGAAAAGGCTAGAAAATAGTAAGTGCACACTGCAATAATGCAAGTTTGGTGAAATACACACACAAAAGTGCTTTTATTAATACTGTCAGCTAAGTGCAGTATACTTCACAAACACCCTAAAGAAGATGAAAATCTTGTTTAAAGCCAGTCACACTACAATGTGTATAAGAATTGTCTAGTTCAAGAACAGGTCATAAAATTTGTTAAAAGTAGCTGTTCTTTAATCCCAATTTCAGTAAACCTATGAGGCTAAACATAAATGGAAAAAGCACAAAGAACATTCTGTTTCTTTCTTCCAACTGTATATACAAAACCAACAGAACTTGAAAATAATTTGTTGTGGTTGACTGCTTCTTTTATAATGAAATCAAGCCTTAACAACATTATTGGGAGTAATTTCCCATCAAAACTCTGTTACAGGAGCCCCTCCGTGAATGTAATAGAATATTTCCTCGTCTTGGCTCTTGTGCTTCACCTATATAGTGTTTTTAACTACAAGAAATTATTTAAGTCAGTTTCTGTTATGAAACAAATACATAATTTCAAAAAAAATTCATAAGTGTTCTCTGACTGTAACTAATACCATCAACTGAGCTAGAGATGAATAAAGGGGGTGAAAAGGACCTAAGTCTGACTAATAGTGTTATTTCTGTTCCCATATTAATAAGACCACATATGATGAAAAATAAAAATTCCATTACACTCATGTCATGGTTCACATGGTCTTTGAAAAATACTTCCAATATTGCAGACAAAATATCTGAGCAATGTGCTGAATGTGTTTTCCTTCTATGAAAGCTCAACACACTTATTAAAATTTGAGGGCTTTAGATAAGATCTTATAATATATTTAGAGTATTAGAACAACGTCATGGGGAGGTTACTCATCAAAATGGTGTGGAAAAGAATCCTACAAGGCTAATGCTTGAAATTTTCAATCAGTAGCATTTCATTCACCTTACTTGCAAACAATCTGTGGATACTGTAAGAGTGGATGTGCAAACTGAGTTTAAGTTTCATCGTTCTTTAGACTCCAGTGTTTTCTTTGGGTTAGGTTGCACTGAATATGAATTAATGAAAAATATTAAAGGAGGCCCAAGAAAACAAAAGTCACCACCACTAAAAATTCATCAAGCATTCAAAGACAAGGAGGTTCTCAGATAAAACTTGCAATGTGAGCTCCATTCTTTTGCCTTGCCTGCCCTCTACATACAGGCCAGACACTGGTTTTGTATTTATCAGTCCTTTCCTTTTAAACTCTTTCACAGAAATATTTATTTATATTACTACTAGATAAGTCATCTAGCAAATGCCACCTTTATTTTATCTACAGACCAAATGAAGCCTAAATTCACTGCAAATTTACTCCTCCTAAAACTGATCCTCCTTCGTAAGCCAGAAACTGTATCAGTAATTTGTGATTCCCTGTCCCTCCATTACATATCAACATTTGCAACCCATTTGATGACACTGACCACATATTTCAATTGTCTGAATCACTACTTTTCCCAAGAAAGAAATTTCACTCTACTATCTCCAAAGGCAGGTTAAAGACTCTACAATAGCATACTCAGACCATCACGCACTACAACAGCATACTCAGAGTGCCACCTGCATCCAAGACTGTTCCATTAAGGACAGCCCACACAGTCATGCCGGAAATAACAATAGGGATTGGGCTTAATGCAACCTTGGAAAGTGCACATTGTATCCTTGTTAAATAACAAAGTTGCAATCACTGCAGTTATATCTTGACTGGTAAAGAACCTAGCAAGTACCAAGGTATTCCAAAATGGTGAGATGGCCAGGGAAAAATCCTTAACCTAACAACTAGAAACCCAGAAGTGTTTTCTGGGCTTGAGGGAAAAATATCATGTAAGCTTTAAACTGGATGTTGAGGCCTACTTTGGTGCCTTCTGGAAACTTTCACCTTTAAAGCAACATGTTTTGCCCATTTATAGAATAGCCAAGGAGGAACTGACACTCTTCAAGGACTACTCTGCTGTGACACAGTGACCAGAAGAACGAACAACGTTTTCTTCCTTCTCCCAAGACTGATGTCTGAGGAGAAGAGTGCAAATACAAAAGACATGTACTTTATGCAGGGCTGAGAAGGAGCTTGGAAAAAAGCTGTGTGATCTAAGCTCGAGAAGCTCAGCTAAGAATATAGGTAAGGAAGAACAACTTAAAAATTGCCATGGAAAAAAATTTTTGGACTTGCATGCTAAAAGTGAACAACCCTGAACAACTACAGGTATCTGCGGTGTAGTTGGTATCCACACTTACTGGAGAAGGTATGGATGATTGACAGACAGATCTAAACAGTTCTATCTGTGCCTTAACAGAAAACCCCTCAGTGGATCTAGTCAATATGTGGCTAACACATTTAAA